AAAATAAACAAATTAATTGTATTACCTATCGTAAACTGCAAGTCAAGATTATGTGAGCGTGGGAATAACCACCCATGAGATCAATAAAAAATATAAATTTATCTAATCTCGCTTTGTAATATTTGAATTGAGTAATGAGACGTACAAAAATTTTCATAAAATATAGTTCAAAAGCCAGAAAGGTCGCTTTACCAAAAAGTTTTAATTGAATATCCTTTGCTCGATTTCTATAATCTATGCGACATTGTCCTTTTTATATAGTTTTAAAGCCGACAATATATTACATTTAATCCGTAATTGAGAACTAAAAATAAAATTATTATTAAATTATTTAGTCCTAAACATTTTATATTTAATCATTTAAAATTTATATAGGTAAGCAAATGTCGTTGGCTTAATATTGCATTCGAAATTCAAAAACTTTGTCACAATTGTCTTTAATAATTTTTAAATTTAGAATATTGTTTTGTGTCGTAATAATATGATATTTTGATGACAATAGAAATCCACAAATAAAATCTTTGTACGGGAAAGAAGCCACCGGGACAACTTCGTTTACTCCTAATGAATTTAGATATGATTTTATAACGTTATTGCTTTATTAGTTTTGTTTACATTATATTATCTATGTATTGTAACAGACTAACTAGGTGCACACTTTCAAAGGAATTTCTGAGGTAAGAAAAAAAGCTTCGTATTGTCTATAACCAGGCGTTATTCGAATTTATTTTATTAATAATTAAATATGTAGATAAAATTAACGTGACAATCTATGGTAGGGGCAACCACAGTGCATTTAATCCGGACTTGATCCCGCAAATATTTGTGCGCTGTGCCTCTCATGGGAATACATTCTGGATTTTACTTACTTAAATTTCGATGATAGAGACAGATATAGTTGCAGCTTAGGTTTAGAACGAGATAGATTATGAGTTCATGGGCATAAATAGGGTTGCCACTATTTTAACTGTTTTTTTACGGTTATATAAAAACATCTATAATACTAAGGGTATACTTATTTAGTACCTCATTATTGTAACTTTATTAGCTCATACATATTATTACTTTATATTGAATGTATGTGTGATGTGCCCTATGTCAAACCTAGTCACTAGTTGTTTTGTGAAATATATAATTATACTTTTCAATTAATTTTTAACAGCAGCCTTAAGCTATATTAATTAGAAAACATTTGAATAAAAATATAATTAAAATCGTTAATAAAATTGTGTATGTGTTAAGCAGGTGCTAGGTTAACGGCTGACAGATAAATTCAACTAATTATGTCTTAATGGTCTCATCGACACATTGGGGATAGGCAGAAAAGAATGCAATAACAATTATTAATAAGAGCTCTTTTAAACGGAAAAGGCAAAGTAATTATGGGTTTTGTTAGTGACGTTTCGTTCATTGGAAATTTTGAAAATCTAATTTTCATTCATACAACTGTACATTCTTGGCAGTTGAGATTTAACGCAACTATGGAACAAATTCTAATTCGTATCTCAAGTCAAAAATTTCATCAAAATCGTTCCAGCCGTTTGGGAATTATTTACAAACACGCACAGAAGATTTAGGTGTTCGTTACGTATGTAACACTTGGCCCCAAAGCGAGTTTAGACTTCCAAACTAAAATTAAATCGCATGAGGATATCTAAGAAGATTAATTTGATATATTTCTAACTTGTACTATTAATATCACCCCAGTATTTGTGTCCTTCGTTTAGGTCAACAGATTGTAATACAATATAAAGTACAGATATTAATTACAAAACAGATGTGGAATCAACAACTTAACACCAATGTATATAACGTTATGTACCAAGTTATATCAATATAAGCTCCCGAAATGGGCCTGAGATTGCATCCGTTTCTTCGATTTATTTTATACACAGTGATCAGGCTGTGTCTGTAATATTCCTCACTATATAAGGACCAAATGCTAATAATTACTAAATAAGACGGCATACCTACATATGGTTTTGTTTTGTTTTACCTATGTAGTCTTGTAATTGTCTATTAAAACATTAATAAAAAGGTAAATTTTTCGTATATAATATAATTGTCTAACTATAAGAAAGGCAGAACGTTTAGTCATACGATATTTATACAATTAACCTTAGTATGTCGTCTCTTTCTGTCATATTGTGCGTACTCAATGATGAAGAGAGATAGATTGTTAGTTCAAAAAATAGTGAAGCCTCTCACTTGTTATGCCGTGAAATGCAATATTACCCTTGGTCCTACATTCTTTCTATTGCTTGGAGCTTATAGATCTACCTCTTTATTTCTTTTCAATATTAATTACAAAGCACGGTATGCGCGGGCGCCACTCTTGAGCCTAATAAAAAATAAACAAGTCTTCAAGTTGCCAGTGAAAAGAGTAACAGGATTAAATTTACACTTCAACAATTAACTATTACATTATAAAAAGCCTCAAGCCTTTATGGATCTGCAGCAAATGCTACATTGTTGCTAAATTATACACGAGGAAAAAGTCTCTAACTAGGTTTAAGTATTAATCTTGGCGATTAAAAGAGTGGCGGAGAGTTTATTGCCAGTTCTTCTCGTCCGTTCTACGCCCTTGATTTGAGAACTGGCAGTAAATATAAAATTAGAAGCATTTAATATGTATTTCTTTATAGACGTTCATAAGTGTACATTGTTACCTAAATGAATAAATGATTTTGAATTGGAATTATACTTACAAAGAATTTTTGGACCTAAACTACTCTTTAAATATCTAGAATCGCTTACGCATTATGTAATGGCAATAAGTTAATATTCGGCCTTACTTCTAGAATACTTGCACTTGTAATAACTCGGCAATAACATAATAAAAACAGTTACCTTGTACCTAATAAGGCAGATTACAACGGATATACAAAGTGTCGAAGGGGCTAGATCCGTCGCATGAACAGCATTATTGAACACGAACCCTTTGAGTCTCCATTCTTAAACCGCAAACCGAGCGCTCGATAATTAATCCATTACATGTCTAACCCTATCGACAATCGAACCGATAAGATGGCTACGAAAGATTTTATCACCCTCGTTTAATAGAGAACAATTTGTGAGGGGCTCACCGATCTTCTGGATGCCTCGATGCCTCCCAAAGGACATCACCTTTTGATCAATAACTGTATATAAATTATCGAACACATGCCCTTTCCTGCTCGAGCGAGCGCACCGGTCCACCGTCCTTTGTAATTCGGTAGCTACTTGTTTATCAAACTCGTGTAAAACTTCCGGATTGCGTACAAAGTTGACGAAAAATGTTTCGTCACTCGCGGAAAGTTGCAAAGTTTCGCGGTTCCAAATTTAACTTCTTAAAATCTTACTTAGTTGGCGAGTTTTTTGTTTAGTTTTTTGGCTGGCAGCTGGGAAGATGCGGCTTCCGAAACACAATGCGCTACTTGAAGTGAATTAGACGCTCGAAAGACGCCGGTTGAGGATTAGCCCCTCACAATTAAAACTGGCAGACGGCGCTTTTCGTCATCTTTGACATTCAAGCCTCAAAATACACCCCCGGCGGCGAAGGTATTGTGCACTCGAGATGTTTTGATTTGTAAAAACGGACCCAGAAGGCAGCGATTACAAAATATTAGCGCATTGTATCGAGTGTTTATTGTTCGCTTGTAAACTTTGTGCCTTTGTGCCGCCCACTCCAAGTTCACATGACATTTACATCACAAAATAATAACTATATATCCTAGGTTAATTAGTAGTTTAAAATAAATTGAATTTTGTTTCTGAAATGTGTCTTTATAAGTCGATATATCTTTAACTAGAAATATCTTTAGAGATGTGAGTCTGGAGCTAGAGTGAGGGATTTTCAAGTCTCACATACACGATTAAATACGCTATAAGCTAATTCCCTATGAACATTAGTAGTTATGATATTGCATTGGGGACGTAACTAACCCTGGATTTATTAATGTTTTAATGTATGAGAAATATTTTTATTTTTTAGAAAGAATTTAATTTGAATTCAATCACGTAAAAAATAGTTAAGCTTTATAATTAACAAGAAACATCAATAAAAAATAAATAAACAAATGTTTAACATGGCAGATAATATCAATATGAAAAATTGACAAGCGTACAAAAATCGGCATGTCGGACACGAAAGACGCGTCCGCATAAAAACAAAACGACCAATAAATCGGGATCTACCTGTTTAGAAAATATCGAAAGGTGAAAGATGTCAGGAGCTTTAACGAGTTCAGTTATAAAAACAATAATATTTAAACGTCGTTTAAATTAATCGACAAATGGCGATTGTGAAATCGCGATTAGTTACTATTATAGTACCATTCGTATACTAATCCGCACTCGGAGTCGTTAATTAAGTTAACGTTTCTTAGGTCTTTGACTTTATATTAGTCGATGCTTAGTGCGGCACAAAATTTCGCATATGGTTAATTAAAAAATGGTGCTACAAACATTTAGGTTTGGACCTCAGATTTCTGCATGTTTCGTGTTCATTTGTTTTTCCTCAATGTTTAAGTAGGATTGGTCTTCTGTGCCTGACACACGCCGTCGACTTTTTCGGTGTAAAGCATGCCGGTTTCCTCACGATGTTTTACTTCACCGTACATGCGAGTGTTATATGCGCATGGAAATGTATTGCGCACATTGGCACACAGCCGGGGTTCGAAACTACGACCTCAGTTGAGAGAGTCATCAAGTAGACAGCGACACCATTAAGTCTCTGTATATCGCGGTAACTCAGTTAAAAATTAATTTAAGTAAAGATCGATATATCTTATGATATTTATTTATAACACTGAGAATCAGCTACAAGAATATTGTAGCGGTCAATAATATTCGTCCTACTATTATACCGTAGAGAATTATATTAATTACCTACATAAATAATATTTATTTCTGTGTTAATTGTCACACGCGGATAACATTCTACACTTATTTTTTTTAAATACCTCACCAGCCAGCTGATGTCAAAATTCCTGACATTCCACAGACGATCGTTATTTCAATTACCCCTCGTCAAAGACAAAAGACTTGACACGGGAAAAAAACGCATTATCTATGATTGGATCGCGGTCTTGTAAACGCAGTCGGGTGTAGGATGTTAGTTTCGGAAGCTTTTTTGAAAATGATACTGCTTTACCGACTGTTATCTAAGATATAAGACGTAGTATTTAAATTAAGTGCAAATTGTTTCTTCTTTTTATTATTTTGTTTTTTTAAATATAATTATTGTTTAATATACATATAAAATAATAACTGGAATTTTGCCTTATTTTTGATACGACATAGATATATTCTATGAGATATTGTGTGAAACGATTCTAATAATTAAAAACGTAATGGTATAATGAAACTAGTTTTGTTAAATATTCTTATTAATTAAGTTTTTGAACATTCATATGCACCTGCCTTTTAATTAAATAGGATTTTCAATTACGATTGCTTATTGCGAATAAGCTTAACAATAATCTTTTGAGAGAAAAGTTTCTTATACTGAAGAACAGTTTTTATATGATGGTTAGGAGTGTGAAGTACATGACATATTTCGATAGTCGATAGTTTTTAAATTTATGTTGCGGCTTATTAAGTGTATATGTTACGGGTAATGCTAGAAGGTGGAGTAAACCTAGGTTTACTCGGGTTGACTTAGTATTACCCAAGCTTCTTGGGTAAAGTCCGAATAATAAGTAAAATAAATTTAAATTCGGGGTTTACCCATGCTCTACTCAACCCAACCTAGGTCTACCCAACTCTGGCTGGGTAATGTTAAAAATTTGTCTAATTAATTAGTGAAATGAAAATCCAAGGCCATTTTAAACATTTATTATCTGAAAAACATACAAACATAAAAATTATTTATTTGAGCAAGATAAACTGCTGTGACATTTTGAGTTGCATAATTTTCCTGCAGCTTTGCATGAACACTTCTTTGTGGCACATTTTGTTTTGCAATTACACCTTTTATAACCCTGGCCTCCTGATAGCGACTGTTCATTTGCAAGCTCTCGTAAACTTTTTTTTCTGGTGATATATTTTCGATATCAATCAGTTTATCATGACACACAGAAAACTAATTCCTTGAGAACATTTCCTCAATAGTACCACGTTCGTTCCCTAGCCTATACAGATCACCAGCTTTTTCTATAACTACCATAAGCACGTTCCGAAACTCGCCTCTTCCTCTATCGACATCTGGTATTTGGACTCTCACCGTATCTCCAACAGAACATGGAGGAAATTTTAAATTAGATAAGGCTTTCATTTTCTTAGCTTGATTTTCTAAGCTCAATCGGGCAGATAATCTATGTTTATTTATATTTTGTTGAGTAGTACAAATTTCACATAAGTTTATTTCTTGTGTACTTGTGCCTGGGTTCATACATCTACTACACTCTAATTCGTCTTTCTTTTTGGCCGTTTCTTCTGAATTTATTTCTAATAAAACGTTCCTTTCACCTTCTTTTGTATTTAAAACTTCTGTTTCGATATCGCTTCTCATCTCCGTGTTCTGTAAGTGGTAATTCTCTGATTCCAGCTCTACATTTAGTAAATCTTCTTGAGATTCTTGTCTAGATTCCGGTCCTTCTTCTTGGGATTCTGGACTAGATTCTGCTTCGGTAGTAAATTCCGTCAACATTTTCTCGAGCTCTTCCTCAGTGTGAATATTGACAATAACTTCTTTTGGAAGAGAAGACGACGCTAAACCCACCTTGACATCACTACCGAACATGGCGGTATAAGGAGCTCGTTTTATTCCATCGTGGAATGCCCTATTTTTCATTAATTGTACGAACTTCAAACCTTCTGACCAACGCTTACAATTTTCGTCGTTCATCCACGTCATAAGCATATTTTGTACGTCTTGATTTGCTCTTTCCACACTACCTTGAGACTGACTATGGCGAGGTTTGCCATGTACTATCTTCAGACCGCTCCACATCGAGCACAACTCTTCTATTACGTGATTTGCAAACTCGCGGCCATTGTCTGATTGAAGAATTGAAGGTGCGCCAAAAATACAAAATATGTCCAAAAGCTTATAAGCAACTTCTACGGCTCGTTTAGATGTTAACGCGCGCAGCTGTACAAACTTTGTCAAATGATCTTGATAGACCATTATGAATTTGAAGTCGCCGTCAGGGTTAGACTGCATGTCAATTAAATCTACTTGACAGCGACTATTCATTTCTGTTGACACCAATGGTTTGACAACAATTCCTTTTTTAGCAGACTTTAACTTTTTTTGGCATGGTTCGCATAGTCGTAAATATAATTTGATTACTTCTTGAGTAATATTTTTATATTTTTTTTTACATTCTTTTTCCATTCGATGTTTTCCTCCATGTCCAACAGCCAAATGAGTTTCATGCAAAATATCGAACATTTCATCATTAGTCACGTAATATTTAATTGTTGTCTCACTTGAAGATAGAGGAGCAATCAGTTTCTCGACGCCACTTACCGAGCACAAATCAAAACGCTTCAATCGCCGGTATTGTAAAGTAGTTTTCGATTTAGCTTCTTTTGCACTTTTTACCGAATTAATTATTTCCAAATACTGTTCGTTACTAAAGTAAAAAGAATTTAATCCTTTCGCTGAGAATAACTCTTGAAATTTTGTATCAAAACGCTCTCGAAAAGAACGTGCACTCTGTTCGGTCGCCATTTTGTCACTAAGCAAGCGGCGGCGTGGCCAGTGTTGCCAACAAGACTAATGCAAAATTTGCTAAACTGTTGTTAAAATTTAGCCAACACATTACCCAGACAGAGTTGGGTAGACCTAGGTGAGCATGGGTAAACCCCGAATTTAAATTTATTTTACTTATTATTCGGACTTTACCCAAGAAGCTTGGGTAATACTAAGTCAACCCGAGTAAACCTAGGTTTACTCCACCTTCTAGCATTACCCGTAACATATATATCCTTAATCGCTTCAGTAATTGATGGAATTTCTACATCTGCCAATTCTTATATTTTTTTAAAAGCTCCAATAATTTAAAAAATTCTTTAAAATAAATTTCTTTTCTAAGTAGGAATTGAACTACCGGTGTTCAAATTATCTATTGAACATGGTTCAGTTAAAGTAAATAGCAGTAATAACCGTGGCGGGCACAATGCACCCCCGCTGTTCAAGAACCCAACCTTTTTAATTATAATATCACCCACATTAAAACTTTTTGCTACAAACCTTTTTTGATGGATATAAACTGCCAAGGCAGAATGTGATATGGTATTAATTAATATTACTTGAGTTATAAATAGTGTCAATATTATTAAAATTATCCGTTAAGGTATATCTTCTATGCGAAGATTTATTCAAACATAAAATCAATTTTAATTTATATCAGGTTATAGAATTATTTATCTTACGTGTCCTACATACCCTATAATATTGTACCATATAATTAATGGTACCCTTCATTCGTCGCGTTGACGTAAACGATTCTCTGGTGATTATAAACTCAAATAAAATTGATTAGTTTTGTACGTGCCTCTAATGATCGCATTTACGAGCGCAAATTTAACATATCTTTTAAATTATTAAACATTTAGGCCCAAATATATTAACGATATATTTTTTTTTTATAATTAAGTAGAACTCCTGTATTATTTTTCCTTTCAATTACAATATAATTTTCTCCGACCAGACGTATAATAAATATATGATATATATTTTAACTACGGAAATGCGATATTTATTTTTATAATTTAAATATATTAAAAATATGTAAATGTATCCCATTTTTCTGTTCTACCATAATTAACAGAATAAGACGCATGGTGTAACAAAATATGGTACTCACGAAACCGTGCTTGTCGCTGATGTTATTCGTCAACTTCAATTTGTGGAAGGAGACGACCTTCTGCATCCATTGCTCCCCCGTTGAGGGCGAATCTGGGTGTATGTACATCCTTTTTGGCATTTCTGGATCCGCTTTCCCGGCAACCATCCACCGACTCCGGAAAAAAGAAAATATCTTAGCATAAACATTCACAGAAAGCACAAAAACCAACGAATTATTTAAAGTACAATATTTTATATTTCATAATTTAATTTTTATCATATCAGCAATTATTGAGTACTTTTTAAAGCTATACAGTGGTTAATAATTAATTATGTCTATAAATGCCAATTAATCAAATTTTACTCATAAAATTCAGATAAATAAAGCGCCTCCAGACGCTTTCCATTTAAAAGATATTATAAAAATCTTAAAAATACCACCCCATTTAAGCACAGACTCACCACAAACAAATCATAGAGGTACAACCGTTTACAAACAATTATAATAAATTTAAATTAATCATTCACCATAGGTAACAGTAATGAAAGCGAAATTAATTTTTAATTAAAACGAACACTCGCAGAGACAGGTGGTCGCATAAATTAAAAACATTATGACGTTATAAACAATGTACTTACGACCTCAGTCAAAAACTTGTTAAAGCGTGAAAATTTACTTTGATCATGCAGACTACAGCACAGCAAGGTTAAAGCGGCTTAAGCCTATGATGGGTTAATAAAGCAACGTGAACGAAAAGAGATCTGCGTAGAGCAACAACTCAGGCCTGGTGAACAATTACGACTCGTAACCAACGCACGTGATAAGACTGGAAATTGGGTCAAAACGGTGGAAATCTGGTTCGTTAGCGAGCGGCGTCTGTCCCACAGATCCCTACCCTTCACGAACGCATGCTTCTTGCCTTTTCGCGAATTATATTAAAATAAGATCGCACCGACCCCTAAACCCACATTCTTATTTTAATTTAATTCCTTCTTTATACCTGTTGTGGAATTTGTATCTGCTATCGTCCGCAGCTACGATGTCCATTAGCAAAATGTACCTTGCTTTTTTATCAAGACCAGAAACGCGAGCTTTGTAGGCAGGAAACATACGTCTGTAAGCAATATGAGAGAAAAACATGGGTTGGGACTCGTTCTTTGCTACAACGATTTGACATAACGTCAATTGTGAGACACGCGGACGGACTAGTTTGATTTTTTGTGATCTGTCGACTCCCGCGCACCGACCGTTTAGCTTGTGATCTTGTTTCGCACTAATTACGCTCATTTACATAACCGTTTGACTCATCTTTATCCCCTTACAAATTTGTTAATTCTATCAAATAATTTTATCATATATCAGAATCTGTAGTGTCTCTATTTTTTATTAATAACTGCATTTGTTTATTATATGCCAACATTTTGATTACGTAAATATGTATAATAAAACGGTATAATTATTAACTACAACGAATTTTAAACAAATTGTTTAATTAATTACACTGGCGCTAGTTTTCTTTTGTCGGCGACATGAGTCATAGTGGAAATTAAAAACTTCTCGAATCGTATTAATTAACGAAAACCGTTATCAGTCACATCTCGCTGACCCGTCGGCAGTTCGTATTGAAGCAAGTCGGACGTAAAGATCACCTTATCGAATCATGTTATCGAATTAAACTATCGGATTCGTTGATCGGATACTGTGGCGTAAGCGGACAAGATGTAGTGAATCAAAACATCTTTATGTTATCAATCATCGTTTACTGTTGTTCTAGAAAATTCTAATTCTAAAATCCTGTGGTATTTCTCACCTTTGGCGTTGGCCGTTTTTTACTGCGGTCTTTGAGACAAAGTTATTTTAATGTTATTGCCCAATGGATGCGATGTGAATCCTTAATCGTTGATTCGAGTCGTAATGTCGTTGCCCTTTTTAAAGTATACAAATTGTTTAGCTATAATTAAGATGGCATCAATTGTGGGAACTAGTGCAGTGTGGGTGTAATCACAAGCTAATTGGTAACGGTTTGGGTAATAGAACATTACTAGAGTGAACGATTCAATTTCAAAAATCGAACGCCAATCTTAAAGTGCAGCGTGAGGTCCATGCTTAGAAAATAGATCGGTTATCAAAAGGCAGGCGAACTGGCGAAGTATGATGTTCTACCTGTTGTGAAACTTATATCGGTAGTCGTCTGCGGCAACGATGTCCAGTAGTAAAATATATTTTGCTTTCGCATCCAATCCGGATACTCGAAACTTCATTTGTGGAAACATTTGTCTGGAAATACAATTTCACAAATAGCATCGGACTCTCATTTTGATACTACATTCAAAACCTTTCAAACATATCCGTTAGTTTACAGATAATATCCTACCATAGATAATAAACCCTATTTTAGTCTATGGTTAATTTAATAACTAAGTTTAATTGCCGATGTCGCTCGTCCAGTGTTTGTACCCAATGGTCAATGTGAGCACGGTTTAACGATCATTAGAGCACTGATTTATACCGATTACGTGATGAAGGCAGCATTTGCCGACCATCTGATATATGTTGTGCCAACCAGAACGATGTTTGGAATACGGAATAGTTAGACTCACCGTAAATTAGGTATTTTAGACATGACATAGACATAACATTTATTACTAACAAAAACACCCACATAATAACAATAATCAAAGAAAAACATATAAAAAAATCCCTTAAAGAATAAGGTTCGTTTTCAGTGTGTAATGCGTGTGTGCTGTAGTTGTAATTGTCTCTGGCTCCGCATTATGCTGAGGATGAGACTGTTCCACAGCTGGTCATTCTGACAGAAACCACAGCAGCTAGTTTACGCCTCAGTCTTAAAAAAAGAAAAATAATGTAATAAAACGAATACTTAGTAGGAAAAAAAAATATTAAAAGTTAGTAGTGTAAGTAATGAAGTCTTGTGTAAAAGTGAGAGTTCTTCTATATAAAATAATTGAGACAGCTCTTTACGTTGAGTAGAAGATAATTAGTTTTTATTTATTAATATCACCTTCATATGCTACGGTCTTGACATATCTCTCTCGCTTCATCCGCTTTCAATGCCTTCACCATGCATGCTCATAGTTTATGGGTTTTGGGTAATGCATAATTAAGTTTTAATTTAATCACAGAATATTATAGCAAGTTTGTCGATTTTATTAACTTACATGTAGATAAATATTCTGATGATTTTAATAGCGATAAATCATAGCTGATACAATTGTTTGTACTAGGAATCGATCTTAATATATTATATTTTTAAAATAAATCAGTGGCGCTACAACCTTTTAGGTCTGGGCCTCAGATTTCTGTATCTGTTTCATGATAATTTTTTTGTCAACTTATAGGCAAGTAGGGCAGCTCCCTGTGCCTGACACGCCGTCAACTTTTACGGTCTAAGGCAAGCCGATTTCCTCACGATGTTTTCCTTCACCGTTCAATCGAAAGTTAAATGCGCACGTAGAACGAAAGTCCATTGGTGCACAGCCTTAAGCCACTAGGCTAACACTGCTCTATATTATAAATAGTATTTATATATTTAACTTCTATAACTATCAATTAACACGCTGTAAGTCAAATCTATACCTGACCACGGATAAAATTCATTATTCGATATAAAATGCTATGTGTGATTAAACCTACCGTGTCTGCGGAAAGCATAACCAACTTTTCCTTGTTCGTAAGATAATTTCTGTTTAAATAAATACGATACTTAAACCTTGATATGGAGAGACATAAAATAGGATTCCCTAGGATTTATATGATTGTCAGGGAATGTTGTAGGTGCCTTAATAATTTATTAACAAGCGATAAATTACGTACGTGAAATAATTTGAAAACAATTTTGGATTGAGATGTGAATTGCTGTATATATTCATTCGTTTAAGGTAATAAACGATTACGGTGTTTTATGTTTTGTATCTAAGAAAATTATGTCTCCATTTCTTTGTTTATTCCCTATCTCAGGAGTAATCGAAGATAATTTTTTGATAGATTTTCGATTTTAGATGTAAAAACATGAACTTACTAGATTATTAGTGATGTTTATGTACTATACAGTAGGCATACAATCCAACCTTCTGTGAGGAAGAAAATCTATATAAGGAGACAGCAGAGCAAGAGATCCCTCTAGATCTCTCCAGTATGAATCCTATTGTTAAGATGTAAAATTGGAGATGGCCATCTTCTACCTCCTATGTACACCGGAGGTATTGGTAGAATACGTGAGCGACCCCGTAACCTGTCTTGTAGGGACTACCCAAGGTGATTAAAGTGGGTAATGCTCACCCACTCTAAATAGCAGAGATTCGTATGGGTCCCACATACCCCTACATTCGGGGGCAGGAGATGCGCGCTTCCACCTCGGTTATCACAAAAAGGTATTCAATTCAAAATAATGAAAAACATTTAAAATTTTAAGATCAAAAACCACCCAAATGAAAACCAGGGTTAATTTCTTGTTTTCTTAAGTAATTAGACTTGTGTCAGCGAAAGTGTAGGTATATTGAAATACTGTGCCGTTGCAAAAACTGCAACCACACGTCAAGTAACACAATACAACGGGCTACCAGTTTAACTTGAGCTCTGACACATTAGCCCTGCTAACTACGATAGGGTTATCAAATAATTTGTTACTTATAGTTTATGCAAATATAGTACATTTGCCAGCAGCCCCGCAAAACATTTCAAATTACGCCGATTAATTTATACAATTTTTAAAGACTCCAAAATGAAATAATGTTTCTTATTTTAATTAGCATCATGTAGTTGAAATAATAATTTCTTGAAGTAATTCTGATTAAGTTAATAAACAGGGGCATGTAATAAGGAGCTATGCTGGTTCAAACACAAAATATACATGCGATATTTTGATAAAAGGAAATGATTGCTTGCATTAAGTCAAAAGTGAAACTGAACTAGAATTATTATTTTATTCGCTGTCATTTTGTATTGTTATTAGTTTCGATATCTCTATTATTACTAATCAAAAAAGATTTTCTTTTTATATATAAAGCTTTATATTTACAGTCATTTATTATTGCTTGTGAGTGAAGCCGCCTTTAGTATAAGCAGCCCTGTCGATTCAGTAAATATTTTGTGTCATAACAAGGTGAACCGGCGGTTCTATGAATTGGTTACGCCAAGAGGTGTCAAGTTTAGCTGGGTATCTTGTTTCGAGACAAGGCGTCAATCAGAGTTCTACTTATAATAGTTAACACGTTAGCCCTAATTACTTCTAAGTAAAAACGCAACCCGTTCTGGTAAAACAAAATGTTAACGTATATTTTAATTATTTCGTGAATGTTATAAAAAGTTGCGAACATAAATTTTTTATTCATATTTCAAAATGCATTCTAAATTCAAATTCCCCGCGTTATAAAACACTATCGATTTTAACTCACCTATAATAATTTTGACCTGAGTTTTATTCAACTGGATTTCGTGTAATCAGAGTTTCAACCTTATCTAAATGGATTAAGGTTAATTTTCGACTATAATGATTGAATAGCTGAGTTCGCTGTTCGTACAATAGACTGCATAAGTGCCCTAGGGTTCTCATAAGGTGACATTCTTTGAGTTTGTTACTCAGTCACGCTTTAAATGCTTAACCTATCTAAATAGGTTTGTTTTGACAAATGTCAAGGTAACGTATTAAGCGGAATTATGCAAATTGCGAGCACCACCCTAGATTCAACGATTAGCCAAAAGTTTCGTAATAAAATTATCATGTAAAAAGCCTATAAAGCATAATAAACGTTGTATTTTAGTTTAACTTGGCTCTAGAATTATCTATTTCATGTAATTTACAGCTATAAAATACACATAAATATTAATAAGATATATTTAATAAGAAGCAGACAATGTACTAATATTGTAAATTTGAAAATAAAGTTACTACCGTAAAACTATGAAATTTATTATTAAATTTTTAAATAGAAATATAACATTGGAAAACATGTATTATAAATTATTTATATCCAAATTATCACTATAGTTATATATAAAAAAAATACTTTTGAATAAAATAATAAAATATTTTTATACAACTACTGCTTGCACAAATTAAAAAAACCTAAATATGGGATTTTCGATAGAGCAACCCGTTAACAGACAATAAAATACAGACACAATAACAGGCTTTTTAGGTGTAAATCTGTGTTGCTACATGTGCAAATTAGTATTTGGAATGTGGAGTCACAAAGAAGGGGGTGGCGAGGGGATGAGAGCATCTGCACGCATTCCTGTGGCTTCCATCAAATGACCCGCTTTCACCAACGGCTTTAACGCCCAATTTCTTAACCTTTGATTTAAATAATACAGACTATTCATTTTCACTAAATATCATACTGATAGACCTTGCTTAATACGCATTTTATGAATTGTTTAAAAAAATAACAAATCATAATTGTTTGTTTAATTGTAGGTACAAATTTCGACGCTATATTAACAACTGACGCACCACACATATTGCATCAATAAAACATATTCTGCTTTGACATTTATAAACAATATCATCAACGTATTATTTAGTTTTTTGCAAGACGTTAACCGTTTACCATTTGATTAACACTTAGTGCATCTGGGCGCGGATCGACGAGGCCTTTCACGCGAATCAGTCTACGTGTTAGGTGCTCACTAGTTAACATAAACGCTAATGACACAGCGATAGGATAAGCGGATATTATTTTATTTTTTGTTGAAAGTACACACTTTTTGTTGGCACACAATTTTTAATGAGTCAAAAGTTAACAAACATTTTAGTTATTATTGAATGATTTTATACTATACCTAGAAACTTAACTAACTAAAGAGATCCTTCCAAGATTTAAAAGAACTAAGCGTTATGACCGTCATATTTCTAATCAATTGACCCTATTAGTATATACAAAGGGGTATTTATTTATTTAAACTCCGCCACATTAAAATAAAAAACAAATAACATAAATTATTAGGGATCATGATCTATTCCAGGCAACCCTAATAAGTAAAAAACCAAAATATTAAGGGTAAAATGCAAGAAGTGAATAACTAAATCAACAAAAATACATTTACAATAATTAACACTGAAAAATACAATAATGATTCTTTCAGCCCTATAAATGTTTATATTAGTAGAATTTAATTATATACAGCCGAGACATAGCATAACTTTCGTATGTCAAAGTTTAATAGCCACAGATTAGCAGTACGCGTTTATTATTGGAACCCGCGTCCGCTTATGATACGTCCATCCGTGGTTAATACCGTGACACCTTGCAGT